ATTGCGACAAAATACCACAATTTTTAGTTAAAAAAAAGTACAAGTTATTTTGATTTTTATAATGTGAAAAATAACTATAATCAGGGTGGCCGCTGGACCGGGAAACCGGGAAATGACAATGAATTTTGAACTTGACCGGGATTTTGGATTTTTTTTAAAGACACACATTATTTTGTGAGAAAAAATAAAAATATTTATTTCAAGACTTAGGTATTAACTATATTTCATTAAAAAAGATTGAACGATCTTCTATAAAATCTATTTATATTTTGTCAGAGAATTTTATAAAAAGTACTATAAAAATATTCAATTTCTAGAATTTATAAGAAAATTATGAATTTTGCTGTCCAACGTAACAGATTTAGAAAAAGAAAATATTAAATTTAATTTTAAATTCTTTCTATTTCTAACAATAATTAAACAAAATATAATTTTAATTAAACTTGTCAAAAAAATTTCAATGAGAAAAAATTTCACATCGTATAGAATAGTGAAAAATAAATCAATTTAAAAATTTTTTTGCAATAATATTATAACAAAACAAATAAGAATTATTAAAAATTTGAACTAATTAGAACAAACGTGATACGAAATTTATAAAAATTAATTTTAGAATAATAAATAATGTATATAAAAATAAATAAAATTTCTTTTTTTAGAAAATAAATTTTTAAAAAATCGTATTTTGCATTAATATCAATTAGTTTTTTTTGCAATTATTGATAAGCAAACTTTTCTGTATTTTAGAATGTTAAATTAATAATTATTATAGATTGAATTTTAAAAAATTTCAAATTTAAGTTTTAGAAAAGTTGAATTTTAAAAGATTTTAATTAAAAATTCTGAATAAGTCAGTTTTTAAAAATATTTTTATTCACATTTTTTTCAAATTAGTTATGTTTTTAAATATGTACCTAATATTTAATTGAAAAATTTTTAAATTATTCAAAATTTCATGAAATTGTCTTGTAAACAAGTGGATTTTAGAAATATTTTAGTTATTTCTAGAATATAATTGAATTGAAATTTTGAAAATAATTGTTAATAAGTTACAGTAGCAATTCTTAAAAATTATTCAAATTTAAAGGATTTAAAATTTGAATTTTTTTTAAATTTGAATACCTACTATATGGAAAAATAATGGATAATAATTAAATATTTATTTCAAAAAATCTATTTAAGTTCAAAATTGTTTTTAGAGTAAACTAAAATATTTTTAGGTTTTAGGAAAAAGTCAAAGTTTTGTCTAAAAATCAGGAAATTCTTTCAATCTTTCATGGAATAATTTATTTTCAGAGTTATTATTTATGACCGGGAAAAATAATTTATGACCGGGAAATGACCGTGAATTTTTTTTTACAAAAAAATGGCCACCCTGTATAAACAAATCTTTTTGAATAGTTGAAATTTTGTAAAATTTAATTGAAAATAATTAATTTATTTTAAGTCTTTCGTTACAATTTTTGTAGAATAAAAAATCTTTAAAGGTAAATTTAAAAATGAAAATTAATGAAAATTAGCTTCTAATTTTTTAAAATTCAATATTCTCAATTACATATTTTCAAAAATTCAAATATATACAAAAAAATAACATTTTAAAATTATTTTTAACATTTTAGAGGAAACAATCATGTTAAAAATTTTTAATTAAAATTTATCAATCAAATTCAAAAATAATTTAAAAATATAACAGAATTTTAGAAGAACTTTCGGAAAATTATTTAAATTAATTGATTCAAAGACGAAGGTTTAATTGCCCAGTAAAAAAAAGTATTGGAAGAGAGCGAATAGTATTGGCGGTGAGTTTCTGCCAATATGTTTTCGCGTGAAAACCGTATTGGCAGAAACTCACCGACAATACTATTCGCTCTCTTCCAATACTTTTTTTTACTGGGTGGAAATTGTAGAAAATAATTGAATTCAGGAAGGGTTATAATTGTCATTTTAAAAAATAATTAAAATCATAAATGTTACTCATTTTCCGTAAAAATTCATATTTTCCTGTAAAAAGAATTTTGTCAGGGAAATTAATTTTAATATCAGTAAATTGTCAGGGAAATTGATTAACTGAAACTTATGATCATTCTGATTAAGCTTAAGATATCTTTTTTGGAAATATCTTTGATTATATGTCCACGTTGACATTTGCTTTAACACCCCCCCTCCCCTTCATGGACAAACGTGGACTTTTGATTCACCCCCCCAAATGTGTCCACGTGGTTTATGGACGGCCCCTAATATTATGAAACAAAATTTATTATTAATTAACTATATTAAATAATTACAAGTAAATATACATATATTAAATTAATATATTATAAATATACATTAAATAAATATATTAAATAATGTTAAAAGAATGGACCGAATGTTTTGATTTATTTACCTACTTTTGCTGTATAATTAATTCAATAATTATATGAATTTGAAAAATGAGAACTTTTGTTAAGTTAGAAGAACAATTTTTATAATAGAATAATGTATTCTGAAATGTAAAAAATAAATTTGAAAGATTTTATATGTATATATAAATTTTCATGAGACTTTACCAAAATTAGAAAGATGTACCAAAATTTTTATAGGTTATGTGTTCACACATTTCAGAAATAGTCAAGAATTTCAGAAATGGTCAGGAATTTCAGAAATGGTCACAGCTTCGAAAATGGTGGGAGTAAAGTGGGAGGAGCTTGGAAAGTATTTGGTTAGGAATGGTGAGAAACGTTCGAAAACGTCAGAAGTGGTGAGACTGTTCAGGAATGTTGAGAAATTCTGACCATTCATGACGATTTCTGATTTTATTTTTAGTAGGGCTGCGACTGTGACACACACTGTTTTAAAATATCCAAGATAATCGGGAAATGGATACAGAGAGGTAATGGATTTACCATTACCAAAATTTACATTTGGTGCTAATGTGTTGTTAATAACAACTTTACAACAAGAATTTCAAAGGAGAGCTCGAGAAGTAAGTATTTAATAATTATTTTTAAAATATTTAGTTATATTTAATGAAAATATTAAAACAAGAAAAAAGTATAAATTATTAAAATTAAAATAATAATAAAAATTATGTTTTAAATTTAAAGTAATAAGTAATATTTTTTAAAAATTATTTTTATAGTCTAACAAATTTTAATAAACAAATGAAAAAAAATGTATTATTATTTTTTAACAATTTTTTTTATAATAATAATTAGATGTAAATATTTTTAAAAATTAATAAAAACATAAATATTATAGATTCCTCAGGAACTGCGATAGGAGGAAATTGGCAGGTATATTTCGAAAGCACCGCGCATACCAGACCTGAGAATATTGCCAGAGAACATAAACTCAGGAGCGAAAGCATTTGCCTACATCAAAGAAATTGTAAGTAAAAGATTTTTTTAAAGCATTAATGAAAATATATAAAATTAATTTTTATTCAACATACAGTAATCTGAAAGCGTCCATTGTTGAACGATTTAATCGAACACTCAAGAGAAAAATGTGGATGCAGTTTAGTTTACGAGGCAATTACAAGTGGTATGATATATTATCAAATCTGATTGCTAATTATAATGATTCCAAACATCGAACAATTGGAATGAAACCGAAAGATGTAACTTCAGAAGATGTTGTTACTTTAAAAGGAAGATTTTTAAAATTAAGGAAAATACCGCAGCGAAGACCAAAGTTCAAAATTGGTGATAACGTACGAGTCAGCAAATTCAAAAACGTCTTTGAAAAAGGTTATACTCCAAATTGGACAACTGAAATATTTACCATTGACAAAATTGCATCAACTACACCTGTCACTTACAAACTCAAGGATTACCAAGACCAACAAATCAGTGGCGGATTCTATGAAGAGGAACTCCCTAAAGTAAAATATGCAGATATATATCTTGTAGAAAAAGTTTTAAAGACTCGTGGAAATAAAATATTTGTAAAATGGTTAGGCTTTGATAATTCTCATAATAGTTAAATAGATAAAGCAAATCAACAATGAATCATTAATGAATCAACAATGAATCATTAATGAATCAATAATGAATCAATAATGAATCATTAATGAATCAACAATGAATCAATAATGAATCATTAATGAATCAATAATGAATCAACAATGAATCATTAATGAATCATTAATGAATCAATAATGAATCAATAATGAATCAATAATGAATCATTAATGAATCATTAATGAATCAATAATGAATCAACAATGAATCATTAATGAATCAATAATGAATCAACAATGAATCAATAATGAATCATTAATGAATCAACAATGAATCAATAATGAATCATTAATTAATCAACAATGAATTAATTATACATCAATGTTAAATTAATGAAATAAATGTAAAACTTTTAAGGTAATAAATAAATAAAACCAATGATACATATTACAAGTATATGTTTATTTAATATTATTATTTACATTTGAACACACACACACACACACACACACACACACACACATTGACAAGTCGTTGACATTCATCCCACACAGCACATGATATTTCCTGAATATTACACTGAAAGATTGAAATATTTCAGTGTAAACTTCTAAAAATATTTCTGCAAACAGGAAAATGTCCGCTTATGTGGGAATATTGACGCGAAAGTTGAGAAAATATTTCATTGAAATATTCCTGCAATATTACACATAAAGATTCTGCAATATTGTGAAAATATTTCACAAAATGGAAAAATTTGTTAAACACCTCAAACCAATAGGAATTTTCTGAAATATTTTAAAACCCATAGGATATAGTAAGCCAAAAACTACTGCGCAGCTCTACAGGCCATAGAAACTGAGTTTGACCAGTGCGCATCATTTCAGTTGAATATTTCCAAAATATTTCAATGAAATATTTTCTCAACTTTTGCGTCAATATTCCCACATAAGCGGACATTTTCCTGTTTGCAGAAATATTTCTAGAACTTTGCACTGAAATATTTCAATCTTTCAGTGAAATATTCAGGAAATATTTAGGAAATATCATGTGCTGTGTGGGATACTTCATCATTTCTCTTTATTTTATAATGTCCCCAAGCGAGAGTGTCGCTACTTTCTGGTAACAAATAACGCTTGTTATCCATCGGACTTAAAGCTACCTTAATTTGTTTAACAGTTTCAACTTTGCGCAATCGTGATCTGATAACATGTTGAGTTCTCATTTGAATTGAATAGTTATGTAAACAATCAATATAATCATCAAATTCTATATCTTTCTTCACAACTGATGCTTTTACACCTTTTGCTTTTTTCGTAAAATCTTAACCATTTACACGAATACTATACATTTTACTCCGCAAGCCAACAAATTCAGTAATAATTTTTCCACTACACTCATCTTTCATGAGTCCAAGAATTTTATTGTTGGCTTGCGGAATATTATAAATATTATCCTTTGGATAGTCTGACGTATCAAATTTGTGAATATCTTCCCTCATATCAGCAAAAATGTTATCGCATTTTAATTCGTAAATTAAGCTATCCGTATCTGTGTACATCAATTTGCAAGATTTACCATACTTTTTTAACATATAATCATAATGAAAGTCATAAATAAGCGTCTTTGACAAATCAAGTACCGAAAAGCCAATGTAAATTGGTTTGTTCATTAAAATTTCTGTTTTTCTAAGTTCAATCGCTACTAAATTTTCATTAAATATTGACCGACTGTGAAAGTTGGGTTTGGAAATAAGAGCCTCAGCACCATAGCGTCCATTCCATTTAGTTACAAGTTTAACGTCGACATGTTTCCGAACATTTTCCATTGTTTTTCCATATACAGCATTATTCATGAGTTTAAAAAGGTTCTTTTCAAATTCGTTTTTTGCCTTAGCTCTCATCAAAGTATTGAAATCTATATATGACTTAAGCCATGTTGATTGATTGAATTTCATGATTCTATGAATTTTTACTAACTTTAACCCATTAGCTATAACCTGTTTCAATACCCTGCAATGAATAATATATTTCCGCTTATGATTCAAAGTTGTCAAAAGTTTCGCTTGCTTTAATTCTGATGGTGGATTTGTGTGTTCAGAACAAAATGGTAAATCACTGTGACTGTCATGCAAATCTTGCGGATAATCTAAATCAACTTCTAAAATGTAGCTAAAAGCTTCATCATCTTGAATATTAAAATCGAAATCATCTGAAACCGGAATCCACTCAAATCCACCATAAGGAAGTGGTTGAACCATACCCCACCCATACAAATTGTTTGCATCAAAATACATAATATACTTGATTTCCTCATTCTCATTAAAATTTTCCATAAAAGGGTTATTAGCACAAGCATAACGATTGCTACATTGACTAATACCTCCTCGCACACCACGTTCAAAAAACATTAGCTTATCAATGTCTGTAAGCAGTTCTAACCTCACATTAGTAAATTTTAACATCGCGTCCCACGTCAATCCTGGTGTTGTATAGTAGTGAGCAGGATCAAGTCTATAAGCGAGTAGGCATTGATCTCTGAAATTTTCAAAGATATCCGTTAATAACAAGACATCAGTTTTCATGTATAAATCTACATATTCTCCGAGATTAGAACAATTAAATGTAGACCATACACGTTGAGCATGTAAATAATCATCATCAGAAATCCCACTATCATTTAATGTACTATAAAATTTTTCTTTATCTGGTAATCTAGTTTCTTTCAACTTTACTCGATTATCTAAATATTCGTAAGGTAAAACTCCTTTACGCGTTAATAAATTTATTTCCTCTAAAGCCCACATAGCACAATAGTATGAGGTAAGGTTATGTTGAATACTAATCGTAAGGCACAAAAGGTTACACGATATTGCTGTGGTAGACCTAAGGTGAACTAAAAACTTCCGCCATGGAGGTAAGGTTACATGTTAGGGTGTGGTAAGTATATATGATAAGGCTATGGTAACCTTACACGTTAAGGTTGAGATAACCTTACACGTTAAGGTTGAGGTAACGTTACATGTTAAGGTTGAGGTAAGGTTACATGTTAAGGTTGAGGTAACGTTACACGTTATGGTTGAGGTAACGTTACATGTTAAAGTTGATGTAAGGTTACATGTCAAGGTTGAGGTAAGGTAATTATTAAGTTGTAAGGTTGAGTTAAGGTTAAGGTAAGGTTGTGATAAGTTTACCAGTTATGAAAAATATTGAAAAAATAATTAATAAATAAATATTCAATTAAAATGTTAAGTTTGTTGCTCTTCTCTATTTTGGAAACCTGACATGAAGAAGAAAATTTTGAAAACAAATTTGGGAGGACTAGGATTCGAACCCGGGATCGACGCGCATAAACCTATCATTCTAACTAACTGAGCTAAGTAGAGAACTGGCAGAAGGAAAATTAATGTTGCCTTTAAGGAGTTAATCATCTTCTTGGTTCACCTTAAAGGCAACATTAATTTTCCTTCTGCCAGTTCTCTATTTAGCTCAGTTAGTTAGAATGATAGGTTTATGCGCGTCGATCCCGGGTTCGAATCCCAGTCCCCCAAATTTGTTTTCAAAATTTTCTGCTTCATGTCAGGTTTCCAAAATAGAGAAGAGCAACAAACTTAACATTTTAATTGAATATTTATTTATTAATTATTTTTTCAATATTTTCTATAACTGGTAAACTTATCACAACCTTACCTTAACCTTACCTCAATCTTACAACTTAATAATTACCTTACCTCAACCTTGACATGTAACCTTACCTCAACCTTAACATGTAACGTTACCTCAACCTTAACAAGTAACGTTACCTCAACATTAACATGTAACGTTACCTCAACCTTAACGTGTAAGGATACCATGGCCTTATCATATATAGTCACCACACCCTAACATGTAACCTTACCTACATGGCGGAAGTTTTTTAGTTCACCTCAGGTCTACCACAGCAATATCGTGTAACCTTATGAGCCTTACGATTAGTACTCAACATAACCTTACCTCATACTATTGTGCTATGTGGGAGTGAAGTTAGAAAAAGCTTGTTTGACAGTTTTATATTCTGTAAGGTATGATGCTAATTTTTCTAAAGATGATGCCATAAATTTGAAAGAGTCAATAAATCGAAATTTAATTTCAGTTCCTTTTACATGCTTGCTAAATGAAATATATTTTTCTTTATTTAACGGTAATAGTTCAATTCTGCCTTCAAATTCTAAGCAAATATCTTCAATTATAAAATGAGCATCATACCCACTTAAATTATGAAATACAACCGGTATTACTCGTGAATCTTGATAATTTAAATTACATGCTTCATGTGCAGGGCCTCGATATTTACCTGTTAAATGTGAATGATCTCGAACTTTCTTGTCAAGTGAAGAAATTTGCCCATTACAAATGTGACATGTTGTTGATACTGAAAATTCCTCAATTTCCTCTGCTCTCAATCTATCCATTGGAATTGGATTTTTCATAATTGCGTCAACGTTTTGAGCAATTTTCTGCAACACTTGGGCAAACCACTTGGCAGGATTCACTCCTTCTGGACTTGAATTATAACTGGAAAGTGAGTCATCATAGCTGCATTTAATATAATATCCAATGCTCAACATTTCATGTCGTTGAATAATTTCCGTATTAGTAGTTGTTTCTTCATCTCTAACAGGTTTTAAAAGGCACTCACAATCTGCGTAGATTACAAATGGAACTTTTTCTTTATTTCCATGATTTTTAAAATGAATAAAATTCTTTCCGGGTTTGGGTAGGTTAATTCTACATTCATTTAATTTTTGACACTCGTCTACGTGTTTAGTTAGTTTTTCCTCTGTAGTAAAGTAATGAAGACATCGGTCGCAAATGTATTTTTTACTTCTGTTTTTAGAGACTTGAGAACGTACGAGACGAGACAAATTCCTGATCCACACGTTGTGATAATCTAGTGAGATGACTTGATTATTATCATCATCATTATCACTAGAACCCTCATCTTCATAATGACTTTCAACTCTTAACAAATTGACATGCTTCTCCTTTTTCTCAGCAGTCAAGTGCAATGGAACAGTAATAAAATTCTTGCCTTTTAATCGTAGTCCATATAAATTGATTGAGATTTCATTATTTTGTTTTTCAAATTTCGAAATATCCTTTAGTTTTACAGGAAAATCTATTCCATCAAAGTTTAATTCATTTTCAAATTGATAATAATTGTAGAGATCTGTTGGATGATTGTCTTGTTGGTGAAGAGTTGATAACACAGCCCATTTAAAACACTTTTGATCATAATTTTTAACGTTGATGCAAGCCTTTTTTGATTTTATTTGACGTGGTAAATCAATGTATGAACCTACACGTATCCCAGTAAAAAAAATTCGATACACGGACCGCGGAGTTCGTATACGAGCTCGGTAGCTTGTGTGAGAAATATGAGAAATCTCTCATACGAGCCTTTTCCGTAATGAGAAGTGTATAGATGCTTGTATACGAGGTGACTTTTAAAGCATTTTTATTAATGTAACACTATTTTAAAGTAAATGTAGATAATAGAAATGAATTATCTCATCTAAAACAAAGCTAAATTCATAAGGGAAATGAAGTTTTAAGAAAAAAAGAATAATTTTGTTAAAAGAATGTATTCACACTGAAAAAAGGTTAGAATTTGATAATTCCTTGTTACTCTTACTTACCGACATTAGATATTTCTCGGATGCGGTAAGCACGATTTTGTATTAAATTTAATTATTTTATATAAAAACATTTATATAATAAATAAATAATAATATATTATTAATTAGTAATGAAGAATAACTTATTTATTCTACCGCTAATACAAAATCGTGCTTACTGCATCCGAGAAATATCTAATGTCGGTAAGTAAGAGTAACAAGGAATTATCAAATTCTAACCTTTTTTCATGTGAATAAATTTTTTGAACAAAATTATTCTTTTTTTCTTAAAACTTCATTTCCCTTATGAATTTAGTTTTGTTTTAGATGAGATAATTCATTTCTATTATCTACATTTACTTTAAAATAGTGTTACATTAATAAAAATGCTTTAAAAGTCACCTCGTATACAAGCATCTATACACTTCTCATTACGGAAAAGGCTCGTATGAGAGATTTCTCATATTTCTCATACGAGCTACCGAGCTCGTATACGAACTCCGCGGTCCGTGTATCGAATTTTTTTTACTGGGATCGCATTGTACTTATTTATATTAATTTCTAATTTCATTATGGACTGTAATGTCCATTGTGATTCCTTCTCTGCAAACTCCTCCACTTTCTGCAATATTGGCTCCTTAATATTCTTGTTGTACCACCCTTCTACAAATAATCGGTTGAAACCAATTGAAAACAATAGAAATTTTTTTTATCGTTTTGAATCGTGTTTCTTAATTGTGGTGACACGATTGAAATCGATTGATAAGTTTTTCGTCGTCAATCGTTCCCAATTGTTCTTAATCGGATAACAGAATATTGCTATGTTTTATAATAATACATTTTAGAAATGTACAATTGGATAATCAAAATAAATGAACGTTTTAGAAAAGTTGAAAGTCCTTCCACTACAATTATAATTATTTTGCAAGTTTGAAAAATAAAAATTAGCCTATAAATACAAGTTTGGAATTATTTTATTATATTTGAAATATCTTATTATGCATCCAATACACGAGAAAATAATATCGGTAATATTTATTTAAAATTTTATATTTAATATAAACTTATTGATATATAATTTTAATATTTTAGAAAGTTTTGTTTGAGAATAAGTATTATTTAAGGAATCCTTATGATTTTTTTAAAACAGTGTTAATTTTTAAATAAGTATTGAAACATTAGTTTAATATATTTTATCGCTTTCCATTAATGTCTCCGACAAATCCTAATTGTTCGTCAAAATCAGACATTGTATATGAATCAATATTGTTGTCATTTTTCTTCTCTTTCATCTCTTTTGAAGCCTCATCTTCGCAATCACTGTCGCTAGATGGAAGATGATCCAATCTCAACATTTCATTCTCATGAAAATCATTTGATTCGTTTTCATGATCTACATGATTTTCATTAATGCTTTTCTTTGCTTTTAGTTCTACAAAGATATGAAATTTAGATTACCTTGGAAATAAATGTTTGCTAACAAAAGCAATTATTTTATATATATACACTATTTTTAGAATATTTGAATCGAAGATTCAAATTATAGGTAGTCTTATATGTGTTTTTAAAATTTTGTTTGCTTTTGTTGGTAATACAAGCCAAGTACTTGAACTTGATATTCGGTCCTTTATAATAATGCAGGAATGAACAACTTACTTGGAAT